GCAGAGATGAAGGAGCTGAAGGCTTAGCTCCAAGAACTGTTGGACAAGGGATTCATATGGCCGAGTGTGTCCCCGTGGGGAGCACGAGTCCTCTTCTTCAAGATGAAGGATGGATCAATGAGACTGTGCATTGACTATCGTCAGTTGAATAAAGCCACGATAAAAAAAAATGTTATCCGTTACCATGAATCGACAACTTGTTTGTTAGCTAAGAGGAGCTACAGTATTCTCGAAGATAGACATTTGGTCAGGTTACCATCAGATTCCAATAAAGAAGGAATATATGCCGAAGATGGCTTTTCGAACATGCTATGAGCACTATGGATTCACAGTGATGCCATTTGGACTGACGAATGCCCTGGCAGTACTGACAAAAAGAGTTTTAGCAGTAGTAAATTTTACTCTAAAAGAGTTCCATTTATTCCCGTGTCGTATTCACATGGATTGGCATAAAAATAAATTTTCTATTAAAATACAGTCAGGCAAAGTTTTACTCATCGGTGTTGGAAGCCTTCTAAATTCAAAAGATATTTGTGGGCTGAACTTGAAAATGATTTGGACAAAGTAATAAAATGATTGTTTGACAAAAAGGGAATATGAATTGGTTTCAGGTAGTAGGAATTTTTTAGATATTTTAATTAGTTGGATTATTAAATTAACTAATTAATTTAGCTAGTGAGTAATTCTGTCACAATAACTCCATTAGTTTTATCATATTTCTAGGCATCATTAATGTGCTAGAATTGATTGATTAAATTATTTTCCTCATTCATACACAAATGGACATAATAATTTTTCAAAGATTAACTAATAAATTGGCCAGATTAATTAATTAGAACATACAACAATTACTAGCAACATAACATTTTAATTATTCAAATTTAATATTCCAACATAATTATTTTTCCTACATTCCTACTACCCTAATTTCAATTCACATCCCTAATATATTTAATAAGACATATTCATAATAAAAAGTAGACAAATTAAATAACAGAACATGTTTATAATATTCATAAAGAACTTACAACTTCCAGGGAAGCGGAATAGGAACAGAACTGGAACTGAAACTCCAAAATAAATTAAAACTATGAATATTTGGGCTTAATTCACCGCTTGAGAGAGATGAAAATTGGAGAAGTGATGATGGCTATTGAAGGTTGAACGACTCTGCCTTATATAGGCATAGGAATCTCCGGGGCGGGGTGTGGGGCGGCTGCCTGGCAGGTCGCCCGCGAAGGAATATCCGAATATTCCTTCGCATGTTGATGACAGTTGCTGAGATTTTCGTGTTGAATCCCGGGGCTGGGTCCGGGGCGGTCGCCCAGCAGGTCGCCTCGTAGTCGATTTTAAATATCCCTACAAAACGTGTCGCCACTTGCCTTATCTTGCATTTGAATTCCGAGGCGGGGTCCGGGGCGGTCGCCCGAGAGGTAGCCCGACCCAACCTAGAGTTCGAATTTTTGTGGCAAGTTCTATATTATGTGCCGAACATTTTTCTCTTATGGAGCTACGGACCAATTTGAGTTTAAACATCTCAAAAGTTTTATTTTCTTTAAAGTTTTTACTTCGTTTGAACCAGTTTCTGTTTGAAAATTCCAATTTTGTTTTGAACACCCTTTTTATAAACAAAATGATAACTTTGAGATATTTACAAAAGAAAATAAATATTTTATTTTAATTAAATTTATTTACACGCAAAAACATTTAAATATGAGTAAAATAATAAGTACAAAATGTACTTATCAAATTTCTCACACTTAAACATTGTTTGCCCTCAAGCAACAAACTGAATAACTAAAAGAATTAGGACAACTTAACACATGAACGAAAAATATTTACACAATATATTTGTAGGAATAAGATATTGGACAGTTATCAACTTAATTTTCCAAAAAAAAGTTTAAACTCATATTGTTAGTAGAAGTGGCAATCGGATCAACCGGATCGGTTTCAGGTTGGATTTTTTCGGTTCGAATATCTTTCGGTTATATGTTATAATCGGTTCGGTTCGGATCGGATCGGATAAATTTCGGTTCGGATTTGATTCGGTTCGATACATTTTTCGGTTCGGTTTTGAATCGGTTCAGATACGGTTCGGTTATAAATCGGTTTGGATACAATTTGAGTTGGATATATTAAGGTTTCGGGTCTAGTTTGGTTCGGATATATATTTCGGTTTCGGATCAAATATATTTTGGATATATATTATTTTCTAATTGAAATTTAACTATCCATATTTCTTTTTATGTTTTATCACATTTATCTATCATCAATTCAATACCTCATATTATTTTATATATTTTTCTAATTATATTATTTCTAACCTAAATAATCTTCTCTTTTTGACTTTTTTGTCATATTTTATAAATTTGGACTATAAATTGTGAAAACATATATATTTAATTATGATATAAATTTAATATAATTAAATTGATTTTAAAATTTAGTTTTGAAATATCAAACTTTTCTCACAACTACTAATATACTTATGTTTGTAAATGAAAAGATAAGAGATAAATTCAAATAGTGTTATGTTCCATTTGAATATAATTTGGTAAAAAATTGAGTAAAATTGGGTGAAATTAAGTAAATTTTATTCAGTCGAGTGCAAAATTTATAAATTATTGAGTGTATTTTGTTGAAAATAGATTAAATTAAATTTAATAGAGTCAAATATAATTAATTTTACACTTAAATGTAATGGTGTAGATCAAATTTGAAAATGATAACACTAAATGTTGTTGCTAGAGAGTCTTTTCAAAATGCTAACACTAGCATCTAATTTTATTGACTAATATTGAGTGAATTGATTTGAAACTAATCAAATTAACTCTCAAATCAATAAAATTTATTATAATGGGATGAAATCAAGATAAAATTTAGTTATTTCATACAATTCATCATATAATTCTTTCATCTCAAAAGTAATATCACACTTCACTATTTAAAAATTACCAAAAAATTTTTTGTTTGTGCGTTATCATTTATATGTATAACTTATCTTTAATTTATACATATAATAAATTTAAGGCATGAAATTTTGTACTTTTTTTTCAAGAAGATAATCCATTTTATGAGAGAATGAGCAAGTAATGTAATTAGTTCAAATGGTAAATAAAAGTAAAAATTTAAAAATATAATATGCTTATTGAAAGGAAAGCATAGTTCCAAATTTATCGATGTAGGTTCTAACCGGTTTCGGATCTAATCGGTTTCGGGTTTAATCGGTGCAGATATTATCGTTTTCGGATCTAATCGCTTTCGGATTTAAATCGGATATGAATTATTTAGTTCGGTTTCGGTTCGATTCGGATCATTTCGGGTTTTCGGTTATAGATCGGATCTTCATTTTTCGGATCATTTCGTTTTCGGTTTCGGATATTTCGGTTCGGATAATCGGTTCCGGTTCTGTTTTGCCAGCCCTAATTGTAATTTGTAAGTAAATAAAGGAGTATTGACGTCAGCCAGCTTCAGCCAGTGTTGTTTCGCCGCCCTTTATGTCTCCAAATAAAATGCATCTTCTTGATCCAAAAGTAGCTTTGACAACTCCTTATCATCAGCTTCATTAAAAGCTCGGATCCATTCTGGAGTACATTATTGAGAGTTCGAAACTTTCTAATGAGATCTGAAAGCTACCGCTTTGGCTTACCAAACTTCTGAAAACGATCTCCACCCCACGCTTGTAGCTGTTTGCCACAAAAGCCTAGCTTCTCAGGTAGGAATAAGGGGGTTGCATCCGACAAGAATTGCCGCAGTGTGTCTTTAAAACCCTCATCTCGGAGCCATGCATTTTCGAAACGAAACTCCTAATCCAAGCTACAAATGTAGTCCCAATAACACCAAGCAACAAAGCCGAATGATCGGAGCTCCTCATATCAACAAAGAAACATTATTGACTCTTGTGGTAATGAAAATAATTGCGTGAATGCGAATTTTGTCACATTGGACAAATTTATAAAAATGTTAGCGAATTAAAATATTCGTTTGTTTGCGAATTGATTTATAAATTTCTCATAAGCCCGTGAAGGCATTCTTTTTTCTAATTTATAAATATTTATTTTAAAAATTAATCCAGTGATTTCTTGTTTTATAGAATTTTAATGTAAAGATTTAAATATATTTTTATTGTTTTTATTTTGCATCGATAAATACTTAAATAAATAAAAACTAACTTCATTTAGGCATAACATAAACAAATATCAACTTTTAGAGATTAAGAAAGTATCTCTTTTTTAAAGAAAGAGATTTTATTTATTCATTGATTGATTGTAAATGAGGTGGAAAAAAATATAAATTTAGAAAAAGAGTCCATTTCAATTATGCCAAAAGGAAGATCAATTACACGGGTGTTAAAAAGGCCCAAAATAAATTCGAGATAGTGAGATTATCCGCTTAGTTGTTAAAAAACCGTTAAATCAACATGCCACATGTCAAGATTCTGTGAGTTAAGTTCTCAAATTTTATATATGAAGTTTTTTTATTTTGCATCGGTAAATACTTAAATGAACAAAAATTAACCTCATTTAAGCATAACATAAACAAATATAATTTTTTTTTAGAGGTTAAGAAAGAAATTTATTCATTTATTGATTGCAAACGACGTGAAAAAAATATAAATTTAGAAAAAAAATCATTTTCAATTACATGTATTCAGATGGTTGACTCTTAAATGTTATGTGGCGGACATAGGCCAAATAGGAAAATCATTTACATGGTCAGAAAAATGCCCAAGATAAATGCGAGATAATGAGATCATCTGTTTAGTTGTAAAAAAACTGCCAAATCAACATGCCACATGTCAAGATTCCATGAGTTCAACTTTCAAACTTTATAGTATAAAGATAAAGATTCCTTCCCTTTCGACATGTCCCACAATTATCCTTAGACTTCCAATTTTTGGTATAGAAAAGGAGGTTTCGAACAATTGTATTGAGGGTTTTGGAGCGAGGCTTTACCAAGCTTAGTTTTCATCAACATAAAGTAAATGTTTCACGTTTACGTTACTACAGTTTTTATTAAATCTTCTATAAAAACCAAAAACTGCAAAGCCTTTCAAAGAGCATGAGGACAGCACTTCTAAACGCATTTGAGAGCTTCACATGGCAGATTATAAAAACCAAACTGCATACATAAAAGTTGATGGGAATTAAAAAGAGCAAGCAATTACAATGTTACTTTTGTTTTAGGAGAGTATGTGTTTCTTTCTCTCTAAATAACCTGCAAAGAAAACATCAATGCAGTTCCTGTAGAAATGGTGAAGAAACAACGGTCTTGGTCAAACCCGGTTGTACGCAACTGACTTGCTGAACAAACGTCGGATGTAAGCAACTTGAAGCAAACTAGCAAGAGCAAGCAAAAGATACTCCCCAATCGTGTAGAAAATGACTCGCCTTCTTGTACTCTCATTTGCTTCATAAAAACATAAATTTCAATTAAGTGTGGGGTATATCGATTATAGGCACAAGGTAGAGCCTAGAGCGGATAGCTAATTGAAGTTTGAGAGCTTTTGCTATCAATATACTGGGTGAGTGGGGGGGTTAAAGGGGGAAGAGGCTACATAAGCAGTAAAGCGTTGCACTCTGACAACTTGAGAATGCAAAATAAGTTAAGACCCCGTGGTAGCAACATAACCAAACACAATAAAACTACTGTTTTTGATAGGGAGTGTAATCTTGCAGAATCTTAGATTCAGAACCCAATAAGTATACTAAGTTCTAATCAATCTTTCTCCATCCAGACAAGATAAGCAGCTCAATACTTTTTGTGCTTCTCAGTTCCCAGAATCCACATCAAAGTGAAAACTAGCATAGCATTATATCTGATGCAATGGGTCCATTAGGGAATCCTAGTTAACATGCTATCTCTAACCCTATTATCAGCCAAGATTTGCCTATCCTAAGACTAAATGAGAAGTTAATACACAAACACTTCTGTACATAATTAATGCTTCCTTTAAAATCCAGTATTATTTGGTTCAGTGATAACATAGGAAAAGTAACAGACCAAATGAGTAATACTATGATCCCAAGTAGTAATCTAGATCAAGGCCTTACTATGACGATGGCGAGCATCACGTGCTTTCAAATACTTCTGCTCAGAGGTAACTGATTCCAATGCCTCCCTCAGTTCAGCAATTTTAACATTAATGGGATCCAAATGTTCTGCAATAAGAATCGATTTCAAATCATTTCCAATATTATAAAGGAACCCGTAGAAAACTCCATTGTCATGTATCAATCAATATTTTACTGACTTCAAGTTTCATAGGGCTGGATAAGTTAATATGGAGAATATAACCAAAACATGAATTGAAGAGCTATAAGTATTGAATATTAAGATAGTACGCTACGAGCCTCATGAGCCTTGCTAGTTAGCCGCCCCCTTTAGATAGCATAAAAATATAGGAGAAACTAGTTGTAGGAGAGGATACTAGGATAGTAAATGGTTTGTGTGTGTGTGGATGAGCAGTAAAGTGAAGGAAGGGGATACAATTGAATTCTTATTTTTCAACAAATAGAAAAGATTGGGACAAACCATCCTTGGCAAGGTCATGCTCATTAGGAATGTGGCCAACATGTATGTAGAAAGAGACTGTTTCTGGTGTTGAATATGGATTGTGAAAACAAAATTTGTACATCCCACTTCTCGGGGCTTTGAACTCAAATTTATCACCAGATGTTCCTTTCATTGTGTGCACAACATTGTCTCCAGGTGATGTTACCTGCAGTAGAGAGAAAAAAATAGAGACGGATCATTAATATTCCATTTCCGACTGTATCCGGAAGGAGCTGTCACAGTTTTTTTAACCAAATAATTACCCAACTACCCAATATGCAATCAATAAAATGCAATAACTCTACATAAATCTTACGATGTAGTCATTGTTGCCACATGGATTTGCGCCAATTGCACTTGCAAACTCTGATGTTTCGCAAATAATATAGCATTCTAAAGTTAGCAATCTTTGTAAAATAACACACATATTGACCTATTTGGGGTCAATATGTCTGTTTTCTGTTTTTGAGTCTTATAGGTTGTAGCTAGTATCAGTATGTGTGTGTCTTATGAATGTGATCTTGCTTAGTTCATGCTAACGTGTTTTCTTTGTTTGTCCTATTGTACTCGAGCCGAGGGTGTCTTCGAAATAGCCTCTCTATTGCCAAGCAGGGGTATGGTCTACATAAACACACCCTCCCTAGACCGTACTTTCAAGGAATTCTACTAGGTTTGTTGTTGATGTTTGTTGTATTGATCAATTTGGGGTTTGTTTGGTTTGTTTTTTGTAAGAGATAGTAGGGGTAAGGTCTACATAAACACACCCTCCCTAGACCCTACTTTCAAGGAATTCTACTAGGTTTGTTGTTGATGTTTGTTGTATTGATCAATTTGGGGTTTGTTTGGTTTGTTTTTTGGTAAGAGTTTGGAATCAAGAATGTGGTTTAGAAGGTACTCCATCTATCCCCCTTTATCTTCTCATTTCTTTTTAAAGAAAAAAGTGTATGGTTAAATATCAATTTTCTCTCCTTTGCACAAAAAGTGCAACCACACAACTTAACCTTTCTTAAACTCCATGTAAAAAGAAAATGAGAAAATTAAATAGGGACGAAGGAAGTATGAGCTTAGATATGATAGATGAGTGTTCGGATTGTATTCAAGGAATCAAATTGGATAATAGCACTGTTTATCTTCTCAACAATTCATCAACCTCCGGAACACCCAAGCTGCAGGCATATATTGGCACCTCCATCGCTAACCAAAGCCCAGCTCTCCGGCAGCTACACAGCCTGAATGCTGCTAAAATCATGATAAAAAGAAAAGAAATATAATTTGATTCAATCCTTTTTTCATCTAACACTTCTCCGCCATTTCTTTTTTCATTTTTTTCAACTCAATTGTTTACAGCGGATAGTTGCAGTGGAGGGGACGACCAAGGCTTGATCGTCAATGGTCGCCAGGAACAGCGCAGCAAATAGGGGACTGTGACAAGGGAAGCCAGTCAGGAGTTGGAATGAAAATTATAAAAATGCCAACCACACTGCCCCTTGATGGACAACATGATCTATATCTAGAATTGGTGTAGTAAAAAGTAAGGGCCTTTTTTTCCAAATAACCCCTCATTACATACATTTATGGATAAATCATGTCCTTCTCTGAGATGCAATGAAAGGGTCCTATAATCTTTCAAGTGTGTAAACAAGGAGTAAACTAAGTAAACTACACTTGTAATTTATCAGTCACTTGCATTTTCTCTTCCACAACATTGAAAGTGGGAACGCCACCCCAAGCTGCCAACAGAAAACCCAACCCAGTTGCCGCTGCATTGGCTCCTCCTCCATCACTAACGAAGCCCCAACTCACCGTAAGCTACAAAATCTATGAAGCTGCAAAATCATGATCGAATAAAAAAAGAAAAATATACGACTCAAATGTGTTTTTGTCCAATACTTTTCTGCCATTTCTTTTCCTAAATTTTTTTAATTCAATTGTTTGCGGAGGATAGTTGCAGCAAACGTGACGACAAAGGCTCGGCAGTCAATGGTTGCCAGGAGCAGCGCAGCAAAGAGGGGACTGCAAAGAGTGAGGCTGATGAGGAGTTGGAATGAGAAGTATAAAAAAAGCCAACCATGCCGCCCCTTGATGGACAATATGATCTATTTTTAGGATTGTTATAGTAGCTAGTAAGGGCCTCTTTCCAAATAACCCCTCACAGCATACATTTCTGGATAAATCATGTCCTTGGAAATGAAATGAAAGGGCCCCATAAGCCATCAAGTGTGTAAACAAAGAGTAAAATAAGTAAAATACACTTGTAATTTATCAGTCACTTGCATTTTCTATTCCACAACAATGAAAGCTGGAATGCATAGGATAGAATTGAGCTTGAGCTCTAATTCATTCATTATTATAAGCATAGGATCTACTGTCCCCAACCTTTGAACTGAATATACTGTTATGCTACTATCATCATTGTCATTTCGCACTTTTACCTTGATATATATTTAGGCTCATGAAAGGTCTGGGGTCTATTTAAGATATATTTATGATATCTATACCTTTTATTACTTGAGAATCTGCACAAAACATGTACTAACATGGATTGCCTCATTCCTCGATGTTTATTTTCTGGATTCTCGTGAACAGCTCCTTGACTAAAATAATGTACCCCCGAGTATGTCATAACTCATAACATATACAAAGTATCATATATAAGAGAAAAATAAAGGCATACAATCCAGCATTCTACTATTATCTAATCAATAAAATTTGAATTTCCAAACAAGATATATGTACTTAAACTTTCTCATTTAACTTTTCCTGTAGAGATATGGGCAAAATCCGTCATTACCACCCTTTGATTCTTCAAAATTGCATAAATCTAGTTAAAGTTTGAGCAGAAACAAATTATGCAGAAGTAAAAGAAGCTAACTCCAACATATACAATTTACATCTTTTTCAACCAAATATAATTTAACAAACTAAATAACATCAGTAACGAATTTATTACCAATAAACCTACATCATGACAATTTGAAAAGATACCACAGAAATCAGCGTGGATGCATATATATGTACACAAAAGGGAGATTGAACCATCGAAATCTTACGGTAAAATCAATGCCGGGGTGATCCGAGCTCCAGAAGATATCGTGATCGACGACGACAAAGTTGCCGGAAATGGTGTCTCCTTCGTACAGAACGTACTCGTACACACATTCGACGTCGTTTACAGTGACAGATAGGGCAGAGAGATCGGAAACGAAACTGAGCAGGATTGTCACCATCAGAGAACAAACTCGGATTCTAGCTAGAATTTCCATTTTCTACAATTTCACAGCGTTTCTTCGCCGAATTATTTTCTCAACTGACGCCTGTTTTCGGAGCGGAGATGGGGAACCGCCTTCTCATTTAGGTTTCAATATCATATAGAATTGCGTCACTACGTTGTCGTTTCATAATTGATACTCTACAACTCTAAGGTCTAATTTGATTTTTGAAAATTTGTTTCTTTCGCTTAATCTGATCTGATTTGATTTTTTAAGTATTGATATGATAGGATCTAATCTAATTGATTTTGATTTAATCTAATTTTGGTCTAAATGGATCTGATTAGATCTAAATTTGCTTCAAATGAAACTTAATATTATTACTCCCCCTATCTAAAAAAGATTGCTACATTTTGATTTTTTATCAAATTGTGGTACTCTTTGACCGCAAATTATGGAAAAATATATTTAGTTAAAACGTAGAATTAGTAAAATTGAGTTTATTTAAAAATATAGTTTTGAAATATCAAATTTTTGTAATATTTAACTATTTTAAATTATATTTAGTTCGTAGTCAAAGGTTGCCACAGTTTGACCAAAAAAGTCAAATTATCGCAACATTTTAGAGACGGATAGAGTGCTATAATTTAATAACTTTTAAAAATTATAATTATCATTGATATTATAATATAATCAATAACTTTTATCCTAGAACTATTAGATTTATGAAATAAAAATAACCAATAATTGAAAAATTTAATCATTTAATTTTTAATATTCAATATAGGAAAGGGAGAGTATTAATTAAAACAGCCAATTATTAGGGAATACGACTGTTATGCTACAATATTTCATTTTTTTAAATCTTACATAATAAATTTATACTATAAAATATGAATAAAAAATTTATGCTACAAAATATTACATTTTTTCTAAATTAAAAAATAATAATTAGAAATTTATGTGTATAGTTTTCACGATCACTATCTTCGAATCCTAGTTGCATTATACATGGTGGCGGGTGTGGTAACCAAAATTTTGATTCAAACAAGCTAAATATGTCTCCACACAGTTGCATCATGTGCACTATCTTTGAATCCGACATTGACAAATATGAAAAGACTATCAAATAATAGGTGCAATAATAATAATAAGCCGGGTTGTGTGTTATACTTTTTCAGGACTAGACATAATCTCCATGACTTCATCTATCCCTTCTTACAAGTTCATAACAATAATAAGTAGCAATTATTATTATTATTATTATTATTATTATTATTATTACTTTTATTATTCTAATTTGATCTAATCTGATCTAGCCAGATCTGATCTGATTAGATCTGAATTGATCTCATTTTAATAAGAATAAGTAATAAGCAGAAAAATTAGTTGAATGAAATATAGCCCTAGGCTGCCTTGAGTTAGCATTTCTGATGTGATTTGATCATATTCGATTTGATTTGATTAGATATGGTTTAATCTGATGATATTTGATATGGTTTGATTTGCTCTGATTGTAGTTATATTTTAAAATGTTTATGATATGATTGGATCTAATCTAATTGAATCATATTGGAATAATTAATAAGCAAAAAAATAAGTTGAAGGGAAGAGATCGTAAGTTTAAAAGTTGACTTATTTGCATAAATAGTCTATGCAGTTTTTAAGAGTAGGTAAATACTCACTCTGCCTTAGAATTATCTTCCGGGTTTCACTTGACACAATTTTTAATAAAGCAAAATGTTGGTGGTTTTAGTTTGTGTAGAGAAAAGAGAATTTATAATGACCATATATTTGTTTTCTTAAAAGGAAAAAGGAATAAAATTTTGGGACAACCTAAATAAGAAAGAATGAAGATAAATATGGGAATGATTGAGTAATTCTTAAACTTTCAAAAATTGTGAAATAGTCATTGTAGCAAAAAAAATTGAGCATAATTAGTCCATCTCTTAGGGACTACGTGAAGTGTGCACCACATGTGTAACAAAGATGTCAAACATACAACAGTAAAAAAGAGTTGATTCAAAGCTTCAGTCGGAATGCTTAAACTAGAGTACATTCTCTTCCATCTTTTGGCTCAACTCTCATAACAACTTCATGTCCTCCGGGCGAATCCAGGTTAAGACTATGGGGGGAGGGGGGCACCAACCCCAGTTAATTTTTTATTTTCAATCTATAGTGAAAATCTAAAAAATTGTACTAAATTAAAAAATTGCCTCAAAAAAATGTATTTCAAAACAAAAACAAATTGTTAAAATATTTTAAAAGTAAAAAAGTTTTAAATATGATAATCATATTAAGTTATCTTATACTTTGTACGTCATTTAGTACTTCGTATTATAGTTTTTAACTTTTAAAATATTATGTGTTATATGTTTACTTTTAAAATATTTTATTTCATTTATTTGAAAACTCATTTGATATAAAATTTATTCTTTTTTTGTCATATTTTAATGGCCTTTTTAAAAAATTGGGTCACTTCCCCCAAACCCCACACCCTACGTGTGTCCCTCGCCATTTACATTATTCATGCTTCCACCACTGTCCATAGTAATCTTCTTGAACCGTAGTACAAAATGCTAAGTGAGCTCTCAACATTATTTTGTCCATCCAAGTAATTTTATTCTGTTATAACAACAGATAACTCGGATATATGCGTCAACGAATCGGTTGCTACCAAATTGGTATACAACATCACAATACTTTTTAAACAATTTAAAACATTTAATGAAAACTTCATTCAGAATTCCACCATCGAAGTAAAGTAAAATAATAATGGAAGTTTAAGTCATTATTTCAAAAACACAAATTGCAGTCAAGCCCAAAAAAGTAATGAGTTATTTAGATATGACCAATGTTAGAAAGCATTTTCACATTGATGTTTTGTTAATGGCAATGCTTGTTTCTGTTTAGGTTTTGATATTGACAAACAGTCGGGAACTTGGGGCAAAATGAAAAGATTCAAAGTCATAGCAAAAGCTCTTTGAAGGAACAAAAAGCACAGGAAAGGCATTGATGTTTCTAAAGACGACGACAATGGCATTTTGAAGACGTTGTCTAAATACTTAGGTTTTTATTGTAACAAGTTCATTCAGTTTCTCTAAGTCATTGATCAAAACAAAATATGTTTTTCATGCATCAAATGAGTGTTTTCATAAATGGTTTTAATTTTCTAAAACCCCTGATTCTTGCCCAACCAAAACCATAACCATCGGTTATCGACGTTCAGCTATGGCGTTCGGTTTTCGACATTGGTTATTGTTATTGATTTTAGCCAAATGGTTTTTGGGTTTTTATCTTTGGTTTTTGCTTCTGGACACATTTAAGGGTTTTCCAAATCATTAGTTTTCAAGAACCATAACCTTTGTTTTTTCGGTGTTGGTTATTGGCATTCGGCGCTAGTTATTAGCGTTGGTTTTTGGCGTCCAAATCAATCAAGTGGGTTTTAAGATTTTATGATTGGTTTTTACTTTTGGACATATCCAAATAGTTGTCCAACAAAAACATGTTAAAAACCACCTTTCGTTTTTGGTCTTTTGGTGAAAACAATGTGACGCGGCATAAACATGGCTAGCCGTGGTTTTTACCTTAATGAAGTAGTTTTAAGTTTGTATACTTGTTTTCTACATAAAATACATTATATAAGAGTTTCCAACACTTGGTTTTCATCTTGGAGAACTTAGGTTTTTGACATCGGCTAATGTCATGACTAAACCAACCATGGGTCTGGCTAAACCAGCCCAACAGCGATGTTGGGGTGACCAACAACGCTGTCTGGCATGGACAGCTGAAAACCATGGTTTGGCGTTAAGTCTTGCAACAGCGATGTTGGTGTATGGACATCGCTGTTGAGCCAAGGTTGGATTTCCAGAAACATCTAGAACATCGATGTAGACTACCCTACATCAATGTCCAACCTAAGCCAAAAGAAATGCCCTTTGGCAGAAAGTTTTTGGACAGCGCTGTTGACCCAGCAACAGCGATGTCAGGCCATTTCCTCATCCTTCAAAGTTAGGCCTGAACAATGATGGTCAAGCAATGAACATCGATGTAGGCAACTCACCGTTGGAAGGAATTTATGGCTAAAACTTTCCTTGTTTGGAAGTCAACAGCCAAAACAGCGATGTAGGCCTTTTGGACATCGCTGTTGGATTGACCGTTGCTTCCTGTTTTTCAAAATCTAAGCCTAGAACAGCGACGTCCAAGAGATGGACAGCGCTGTCTGGCTGATTTTCAGCAGATCCAGTTTTAATCAAACCCACAAATTATGTCATTAAACCCTAATCAACTCCTATCCGTTACACATCATTTTTGGGTATAAATAGGGGTCTTTTGGGTCTACTTTTCACAACCATTCCTCACACATTTCATAGCTTTACATTGCATCATTCAATAAACTTTTTACATAGCTTTTTAGAGCCATTTCTTGAGGAATTGAGTGTGTTCTTGATCTAAATTAGTTTACTCATATTCTACTCTTTAAGAGAGTTTTTGTTCTTGAGTGGTTAAGTGTTGTGAACACTTTAAGGGAGGTTTGTTCCCTTGGTTGTACGAAGGAAGGGCATATTCCTTCGGGTTGTCGTCTTGGAGTGCGGTATCTCCGAGCAAGTGTATATTGAGGCTTGTGGGACTCGAGTTCTCAGGTTGTAACGGTTTGTTAAGCACCCGTAAGCTTAACGGAAGTAGTGTAGCTCGAGAGAGTCTCTCGGGAGGCTGGACTAGCCACACGTTGTGGTGAACCAGGGTAAAATCGGTGTGTTCTTTCTTTACGCTTTTTTATTCCGCTCTTTACTTTATCCCTGCTATTTTTATTCCGCGAAAATTTATAAACATTCTCGTGCCTCACTATTCACCCCCC